CCGTGAGATGCCCTCAGGGCTGCTGCAATACAGGTACTGCCACTGCAGCCAGGTAAGACTGCTCCATGTGCAGGGCTGTGGCATGCATATGACCCCACTGTATTAGAGCTCTCTGATAACCCTAAAACAAACCAGAGAACTGGCACAAGTTGTAGTCCTTCCTGGTGTGCCCCCCTCTTCCTTTCACACTCCTCCTGGAAACAGGGGCTAAGGGCTACAACCTCAACCAGCTGTCCTGTCTGCCTTAAGGTTATCAGAGAGACCTAATGCTGGAGAAGCATGGACATGTGCCACAGCCCTTTCTGGTCTGGCTGTGCAGCAGGCACACAGGGCAGTTTTACCTGGAGGCAGCAGCGCCCAGCTGAGAAGCACCAAGGTAAGCTAAGGCAGCACAAACAGTGGCTTTCAACTGGGAACACCACATCATTCAAAAAAGTGGTAGAGGGGTGCCATAACTCTGAAAAGATTGAGCTCTCTAGGCAGATCATCCCGAGTTAAACTCACCCTCTTTTTAAACCAGAAAAAAAGCCCCTTTGACTTTCCATGTATAGAAGCCAAATGTTTTCCTTTCCATATCACTAGTCATTCTTATGGTGCTTCTGTAAGCCATTGTGTCAGGTCTGGTGTGCTTATAGCTTGGTTCCTGCATCCCCAGATACCTGGTATGAACAAGACAATCAATTTATACAAGAGCAGCATATTTTTTTCACTTCTGCTATGCACAGCCAGATAACTTATTGATTCTGTGACTACTGCCGCACAGGCAGCAGAACACTTCCAAGGATATGTAGGACCTCAGTCTTGCCACTTTAAATCTCAAAGTTCAATGAACTCTGGGGAATTGCATCACTGGAAAGATGATATGAGCAAGAGCTCCTGTAAGATGCACTGTATAGATGTACTGTCTGTTCAAATCTTTCCTCATCCAGGTGTCCATTCCAAGCCAGCCACAATATCCACCCCATTAAGCAAGATGGGAAGAACATTTTGCTCACAAGCCCCAAGCTCAGAAATCCTGATAGCCATCAGTCTGAACTGAGATTTTGAATTGCTCCTCACATCATACTGCCCGCCATCTGCCAGTCTATTGACCAGTTTAAGGTGGGTTCATCAGAGCCCTCTGAATCTTGCCTACCCGCATCCCTGCATGTACAGTAGCTACCCCGAATGCCAAGTATGTCTGCATTGAAGCTTGGTCCCTTAGGTTTTTCCATTTATTATCAGCCTGTCACTTTTCCAGAGTTGTAAATTTGATGTAGTTGTCTGATTCTGGATCTGCTCCGAGAGCAAGCTGAACATCTATCTATACAAAGGCATCATCATGCAGGTGGAAGGGGGAAGACCACAGAAAAAGTCATAACTGATATTTCATATTCATTATAGAGGAACTTTTTTAGACTTACAAGGATGGAGGAAGTAGAAAATGTACTGTTTCAATGGGCTGAGCATGACACACTGCCATGAATTCAGGATTGACCTGTCTTATAACAGTCTGACAGAAGGCAACATGGCTTGTGTTTGGTGTATAACTGCTCAAAGGGGGAAGGATTTCCACAAGCTTCAACACCTTTGAAAAATTCAAATCAGGGAAAAAAAGTTCATCCCTGCCAAGGACTGTACAGGCCTGATTCTCTTTTCAACTCATATCAGGTAGCTCTGTGGACTACAAAGAAGCAGTTCTTGATTTAAGCATGTGAGAAGAGAATCACAACGTAGAGTCCCAAGTTGCTATTACACAGAGGTCTGGCAACAGGAGGAGGCCCCAGAGCAGTTGTCAGTGATATCTGTACCTGCTGGAAGGCCTCTGTCCACTAACAGGGCTCTGTGAAGGAGCCTTGAGATAAAGGAGGAACAGCACCATTTCTGTTCTACATTAGTTGCTGATGGCAGCTGGAAGGTATGTGTGACAGACGGTCTTACTGGAGCAAAGATGAAATACAAGGGAAGCCAAACGTCTCTCCCTGCCTAGTAAAGTACCAAATGGATAAATACCGCAATTGAATCCAACGAGGAACCTGGCTTTGCATCTTAGTTATGCTTGCCTTTGTGATATCTATCATTAAAGACAAAGCATGTCAGACCTGGCAAACCAGGTGGGGGAGAAGGGGGGTGATGAGGAGAGATGGATCTTTCTATGGGCTGAGATATCACAGTAAAACTCTACTCAGTGTTAATGAGCAAATACACATAAGACACAAGGTGATGGAGCTCATATCGCCATTTCTCTTTTCAATTTCCAAGAATCATTAAACCTCAGCTCCTGAACTGCTATCAAAGAGACTTGCACCGTAACTACAAAACTGTTTATCAAAGCATCCAGCTTGTCAGAGAAAGCTTAATAAAACAAGAGACCTCTCTCACAGGATCCCACCTCAGAGATCTTCTAAGGCAGATAACAAAGTGGGTATGAGCCAGTTCCTAAGAGTATAACCATGCATCCCAGAGAGCAGCAAACCTGAGGTCTGCAAACCAAAGACTGCTCTTTGCAACACAGACAAAAATAAACAGGCTGGCCCACATTCTGCTCTCTGCTGTACTGGGGCTTGACCAAGCATATTCAAAAGCAAGATGCGATTTCTACTTGCACCTCGGCCATTTCAGACACCTGGTGGAAATGCAAGATTTGTAACTCTAACAGTGTCTCAATCTGTGGATCTTGCCAAGCCATTTCAGACCCCATTTTTCAGTCTATGTAAGGGACAGCTTCCTAGAGTCCTGGATGGATGTTTCTCAAGACTTTAATTTTCTTTTTCCTTTAAGCCTGTCTTCTACTAACCATTGATTCAGGGCTTGATTGTGCCTACAAATACAGCCCATGTGAGAAGAACCACTGAGTTCAATGCCACAAGGAGAGCAGAGAATCGTGACTCAGAGAAGCTCAATTCCTTCCCTGACCCCTGCTGCATTAATAAGAGGTGGGCGTCTGGTGTGTGAAAACCCAGTCATGGTTGCCAGAGAGCTGTGGCATTGCTCCACCTTCTGGTGATGGCACATCTCTACCAGAATAAAAACATCAAGGAAGAACGGAGGCAGGAGAAAGCAAGGTGGGGAGGAAGTGTTTCGGGGTTCTCGGTGGGACACCAAATCTGCTTTTAACCGAGAAAGATTGAGAGCAGTGCAGAGCAGTCATTGCAAGAATGAAACAAAACATCTTGCTGCATCAGAGCTGGTGCACGCAGTGCTTCTAAGTGTTAAGCTGACAGCTACAGATTTAGTTATCTTAACAGCAACGCTACCACCAGTCAGATTCATTAAGACACAAAAATGACATGAGTTAAATCCCCATCTGAGCCAGGGTAGGGTCTCAGGAGAGCATGAGGGGTAAGAGTGGCCCTACACCATCTTTCTGCCCATCCGTTACACACACCACTCAACCCAGGGCCTCCAACACAAGTCAAAGCACATAAAAGACACTGCTGCACTTGTGTTTCTCCCTCTCTCTTCCTGTGACATGCTGTGAAGTGATTTATTTCTATTGTCATAGGGGTTTGCAAGAGGGACTAGAGTAACATTCTTGTGGGCCCTTGGGGCAAATTTTTTTTTACATGGCTGTCTGAACCACCTTAATGGCCTGGAAGTTTCCTTCCAGTCCTATGTTCCTATGAAAGGGAGTGGGGGCAGTGGCAGGAAATGCAGGAGTGCAGTGCCTTCTGACCCACCAGCTCTAGTCCCCAAAACACAGCCGGGCTGGCTCCATGACATTCCTCGTGCTGAGCTGGGCTGCCCACAAAGCCCACTGTTCCAGCTTCATGGCTACCCAATGAGAGGAGTTTGAAGATTAGTGCTGAAGATCAGTGGTGTAGGCCAGAAACTAGCTCAACCTATTATTTTTGCTGTTCTATGAGCAGAAAAACAGAGCAGGTGAGCACAACAGGAACCTTCCTCTCTCACATTAAGTGTGCTATTTCAGTGCAACCCTAGAGACCAGTTTGGTCAAGGAGGACCTCTAATTAGTCTGCAAAGGAATCCCACTGCTCCTCTCAACAGCATGTGAAATCAGCTTCCTTGGAAACATTCTTTTGGCGATGTTCCAGCTGAAAATAACTCAGGTTAGCTTTAAAACAAAAAAGGACGGGGGAGAGTGAGGAGAGGGCTACGCAAAGCCAGAAGGAGCCAATACCAAGTCTCTACCACATGACCAGAGAAAAGGGCCTCAGACCTTAACTAGGTAGTGCACTCAACATTTCTGTCAGGCCAGATCCAAGGTCGACTGAAGATCATTGGAGTCTTTCCACTAATTCAACAGGCTTTGAATGAGGCCCTAGTACAAGATTCTTTTATTAGCCCCCTGCCAAACATTTCATAAGCTCTAGAGCAAGCCTTCTCATCATCATTCAAACAGCTCGATGCTTTCTGCCAGCACACAGACAAAGGAAAGGAAGCGTTCCCATTCTCATTGATAAATGAAATGAGATTCAACCTGCTAAGACTCTTTTGCAGTTATTCAGATTTAACTAGGGGCATAAATTAAACAAACAAATGGAAGAAAAAGAAGGTCCATACCAGAACATGCTTTATGTAATCTAAAATTACATCTTCTACTCTCGTGCGAATACCCCTAAGCACCTCTAATGGAACCGCATGGGAAAAAATCTGTATTTAAATATTCCATCTAGGGCCAGCCCTTCGACTTTCAGTAGCAAGAACAGTCAGACATTTTGCCTGCAATTATCATCACAGAACACTAGTGTACCACAACCTCATTGTCAGTTATAAAGAAGCTACGGCTTCAAACATACAGAGAGACCAATGCAGGCACTTACCTTTCTGCACTGAAAGACTCTCATTAGGATTTCTATGGAATGGATTTTGCAGAAGGAAAATGTTTGGGTACTTTGAGAGGAAAGAGCTATCCCATCACTAATCGTGAGTGACAGACAGGTTTCTGAGATTGGAAAGACCTTCACTAATCACTTGGCCTGTGTTGTCTGCAACTTAGCCAGTAGGGGCAAAACTAAGCCTTATATTCTACATGGGCAGGCATTAATAACATCCCTTACCTTCAGCAACCCCTTGGGAAAGTCCTTTCCATCATTCATGCCCTGAAGGTTGGCGATGAATTCTTGACAGGTCATCTTCTTCCCAATGTTCTGAAAGGGGCCAAAAGATACATTCCATAAACAACCGAGCCTACTGCATGCTGCTTTTCAAGAACAATTCAGTCTCAGCAAACCAGGCCAGAGTGGATTTCATTTCCTTGCTTTGTTTCAAGCCCAAGCATTCATAGAATTGCATGAACTTCCTATGCAAGCGTGCCTGTGCGGTCACAGCTATGACAGACAGAAGAAAGGTGCATTCACAGCCCAAACCCCCTTAAAAAAAAAGAAAAACAGTGGCTATCAAATGCCTGAGATGATGGAGAGGAGGAGGAGGAGGATGGTGGTAATGGCTCCTAGCATCTGCACAGTGCTCTTTTTCATCCACTGATCTCTAGACCTTTCCAAAGAACTTTAAGGTCTGACTTCAAAGAATGCTGGGCCCTGGTGCTAAAGCAGCAGTCTGGAAGCAAATACCAGGCTTATAAATGGAGATATGGATGGAGAAAGGAGGCTTTACTCGCACCATGGCACCCCTAACCCTTGCCTTCAGTAGCAATTGTCTTGCTCCTAAGGGAAAGCATTGCTGCACTCCTGGCATGGGTACCCCACGTAAGTCACTGCACATGGGCAGCAGGGCAGTTCTCATAGTAGAGGACACAGTGACATCCATTCTAAAGGAACCTATCCCTGCTTATACCCATCCCAAACTTTCATGTCCCAGGATGAAGATTTCCAGGGTCAGTCCTGGGCTTAGGTGTGAGCAAAGTAGACTTGAATGGTCTGGCACAAGCTACACCCAGCTGGGTCCTGGCACGTGGAATGGCCCTTTTGTTGAGCAGCTGGGTAGAGAGAGGTCTGGATCTGCTTCCAACTGTACCTCTGAGGCTACTGTATATTGAACCTCAAGATCAGATGTCAATTGAGAGCGAGTGCAAGTGATGCAAGCAATTCTGCTCCAACTGTCCCCTCCTCCCTTTCCCCTTCCACCAACTCTGCTGAGATAAGCCTCAAAGATCAGGCCCTAATATTTTCTCTGCATGGTGCCTACTTCATTCAGAACATAAGCTGCAGCATGATGCAGGGCAGTGATATAGGCCTTGTGGATTTCAGCCTGGTTTTCTAATAAACTGCTTTTAATTATGGCAGAACAAGTTTGAAGGGTGGCACACTGTGAAAGAAGCATGGGTTTGCAGGGAAGAGTGTGTGTGTGTGTGATGTGCATTATCATTTTATCCCTTCCCCAAAAACCAAAGAAATAAGCGAGAACTTGGCAACACCAGAACAAAGACCAGAAAAATTCCAAATGAGCTCATCATTATGAAATGACTAATGGACACGGATGCTTAATGTCAGCACTACCTACAGATTGCTCCAGAAGATAAATGCAACTTTATGTGAGAATGCTAGCTGGTCGGAGGAGAGGTTATCTAGTTTTCTTTTACCAGCTGGCACATGCAAAGCAACTGAGGAACTTCAATATTTGCTTGCCTAGGCACTGACCAAATTTGAAGAAAAGTACAATCAGGGCTTGAAAAGAAAAAAAACCACACACATACCACTACCACATAAACATGGCAAATAGATCTTTTCCCAGGGGAATGCCACCAGAACCTAATTATTCATTTACAAATCATATTAGTTTTCTAGCCCTGATGGTAGCCAAGATCAATCTTCCAAGCATGGCCACAGTATAACAGACACAGAGAGCTCTCCCCACACTGGTCTGGCAGGCAGACTGCTCCACAGCTTCTGCTGCTACTTAAGAGCCTCCACCGGCTCCCTGGAGAGTGAAAGTTGACTGATTTATTGTCAACTTTTGTGGCTACAGCTCAGATTCCTGAGGGCAGCAATGAACCTAGTGTAAATTTCACTCTGGTTCACCTCAGGAAAGCTCTAGACAGCAGGAGAGTTAGATCTGGAGGCCTTCGCTCTGGAGGAGAAATCCAAAGGCAGCCAGCCTAGCGAAGGGCAGAGTAGCGAAATGCAGCTACTTGGGCAAGCAGGAAGCTGGCAGAAGGGTGGAAGAGTGGGAAAGTCCCACACACATGGCAGCCAGAAGCCTCTGAGAAAGGAGATCTGCAAGAGGGAATGCACTTACTTCTCTCAGCAACCAGGCTGGGGAAGCTCCACACATGAAAAGACATGTAACATGGGAGGACACAAATAGAGCACAGGGAGGAAGCTGGTGAAGCCAGTTCTGGGTCCCACAGAAAACTGGAGATAGGTCTGCAAAAGCCTGCCCTACAGCAAAGGTATTCCTTCACTGCTGAGTTAGCGCAAGTGATCACACCTTGGTCTGAGGACCCTGGTTAGCCCGGCTTGGGTATGAGCAATCACACACCACAGCCCTGTCCAAATTACCATGTCCTCACTAAGGCTACATTCACCCTTGTGTGAGACCGTGACGCTCCTTGGCTCTGTGGGCTGCAGTAAGCCAGCTGCTCCAGGACTCCTTCCCAGTGACCTGCAGGAGAATTCTTCTGTCATCCTGGGTGCACAGAGGGATTGCGGAAAAGCACTGGAGAGCCAGCAGCACTACTATAATTTAGTCTGCACCCTCACTGCAAAGCAGGTGGACTACCAACCCGAGTGAGTACCTCAGCTTCCAGCCTACACTCCAGTCATGCCAGCTGGACAGAGCATACAGCAACACAAAGCCTGTGGTGCTGTATGTGGTGCTGCTGTGTAGAGACAGCAACTCAGTTAGGGGAAACACCCACAGAAGAGCCCAAGATAACTGCAGCAAACAGAGATGGAGAGCGCTTGATCTGTTATGTGACTTGTGGTAGTTTACGGTCTTTGAACTGCACGTCCTTTAAAAGTCCATGGCTCAGGAGGGAGAAAAGGAAGAAGGCAGGCTCAGACCCAAATCTACCCCGACAACAGGTCAGGCAATGCAAGTGACACAGCATAGGCAATGCTGAAGCCTGCTACTGCTGTAGGCCAGCAGTTAACTGCTAACCATCTACCCCAGAGCCAAGAGAAAATAAGGAGAAGGGAACACCTCTGACCAACAATGCCCCCTGGAACTACCCTGCAAGTGATGCAAATCGCACACCTCTCCTTGGATCAGGCCTGAGTATGACCAGCACCAGCTGGCTGCAACCCTCCACTCTGGTGCTGTTCAGCTTCAAAAACACCAGTGTGGTGTTAGAGGTCAGATTTAGGCTCCTGCTTGATAGTCAGACCCTAAAGTTATACTTCCTGCCCCCACTTGGTGAGGACAGCAGCTCATGTCATGATGTTCCCTCTTGTACACACTCTTCCCCGACCCATGGCAATGACTTCAGGACAAGGAGGGTATGAGAGGCAACAAGGCAGGGTGGAAGAAAAAGGATTGGTTGGATAAGAGCTTGTCTACACTTGATGGTTAACAGGGTGCAAAATTGAAGGAATGAGAGTATGCATGCCTGAAATTATCTCAAAACAGTTAATCAGGAGCAACTTTGGTGTAGACAAGCCCCAGGAGTCATTAATTTGCTACCTTAGTAGGCTGGACTGCATAGCAGAGTCATGCTAACAGGTTAGAGAACCATACTATAAGTAGAAAAACAGGCAATCATCGTAAATGCAGAAGAGGCTGCATTCAAAATTAGAAACACCAAACTTACCACCTAGGCAGAAAATGCAAAGCAAAAACAAATACATATTACAAGACATCCAAGGGATTAGAGAACAAGAGAAATGTGTGTGATGCATTTTGTTAGCTCCTGCAACAGCTATTCTGTACCCGCATCTGCAGGGTAAGGCAGCCAGCAGAGAAATGGAAACCACTTTGTTTTGGCAGCAACAGAAAGGCAGAAATAGGATCTCTGGCTAAACAGGACCAGTGTGATAATATCCATGCTGGGGTAGGTTCCCTTACCCATACTCACTCTGCACTGCTCTGTGGGACATCCTATCCAACTGAGGACTGAGCTGCTGCTCAGCATGAGAGGACATCAAAATTTGGTCCCTCTGAGGGCAGAGTGGGCTCACAACTTTGCTGCCTTATCTAACCCTGTCAGCTGAGATCTGCAAAGCCACGTTAGGGATTAAGACTCCTCCCCATCACATTTCTTAAGAGGTGGATGTCAAAATCCCTTTGGCAGCTTTGTGGTAACTTCTCCAAGTTTCTCACGGTCGCACTGAGGCCCATCCCCAGGCACTCCTCAGCAGAATAAGGACAGCTCTGCCCCAAGCCCCTTTGCCCATTCAGAGACCCATTGGAACTGGTGCTTGGGGCATAGAAAAGCAGGTCTCCCTACATTGTTGGCAGAGTCTCAAATACAAATGAAGCAGCTTGCATCAGAGCAACACAGGAGAGGATGGGATCCCTGGGTGCCTGCTACAGGCATCATATCATACAATCTTTATCCCTTTTCTGTTGCCCAGGCTGCAGCATCTCTGCTTCCTGCCACATCACCCCTCTGAAGGTGAGAGGAGCATTTGATGCACAGGCTGTGGCCAGGAGTGAATTTCAATAGCAAGACAGGCTGACCTGCTGAAACAGCCTCCTCCTAAGCATGCTAGTCATCCCCTGCCACCTAGTGGCCAGGACTACAATGATACCAAACCAAAAAAAAAAGGGGGGTGGGGGGAGAGGGGGAATGAGGTGGGTGGGGGCTATATTATATTTATGACTAGATTATGAAGAGCTCTGGCACACTCCCCTACCTGTTATATGCCAATGTGAAGGGTCTGGCCCTCCCTTGCACAAGAGACTGACTGATCTGTTCCTTCTGCCTGTGGCCTGGGCATAAGACTCCCCCAGAGGCAGGAAGTGGGCCTTGAAGACTCCATAAAGCTCCCCTGAGAACAAAATGCTGCTATGCTTTCCTCAGGGAGCTCTGCCCCAAATGGGCCAATGTCTGACAGAGCCCTGAATTAAGCCCTTACACTACAACTCTTGCATCTTTCTGGGGTGCATCCAACAAAAGCAACCCCCTTCCACAGGCACCTAAGAGGTGCTTTGTGAAGGACAGCAGCATAAGCTCCTGTTAACTTCAGTGGGACTGCACCTGCCCCAGCAGTGACTGGTGGCTGTTGAGTATTCTATGGAAGCGCATTCAGTTTCTGGTAGCTGTCTTTTTTCAAACAGGGAAACCAAGGCTCCTGAGAGTTAATGCAATTCCACTTGCAGCTAGGGTTGCAGAATCAGATCCTAGATGCACAGTGGAGACTCCCAAAATGTTGAGAAAAGAGGTAAAATTTCAAAGCGGCCATGTCTCATAACAGGAACACGCAACAGGGATGTTACATCACTGGAACATGCATGCTCCTATGACGCTCAGAGACTGGACACATCCACTGTCTTAGATTCATAGATGCTAGGGTCGGAAGGGACCTCAACAGATCGAGTCCGGCCCCTTGCCTAGGCAGGAAAGAATGCTGGGGTCAGATGACCCCAGCCAGATGCCTATCCAGCCTTCTCTTAAAGACCCCCAAAGTAGGGAAGAGCACCACCTCCCCTGGAAGCCCATTCCAAATTTTGGCCACCCTTACCAGCTTACTAGGTGTTTTGATACCTACAATCAGATCCCTCAATCAGCTTTCAACTCACAACCAGCTGCTTGAACATGCTCTCTTCCCGGGTGGCTTCCCAGGCTGCCCTGACCAGCTGTTTCCCAAACAGCCATCCCCTACACCTGCATGTTCTTTCATTTATTGCCCCAGCTGCTTTCATGGCGTGGAGAGGACAAGCCAAAGAACAGTGCAGCTTTTGGTCCTGAATAGGCTTGCTGATCTTTAGCAGGACTAGCCTATTAAAAGAGGGGCATGAAGAGGAGAAGAGCTTTCAGTTTCCTCCTCCTGGATGCGATGCTATTTGCACACAGCCTCAGTAAAGGGAATGAGCACAATCTCTGCCTGCAGCTCACAGGCAGAGCTATTTGCACACAGCCTCAGTAAAGGGAATGAGCACAATCTCTGCCTGCAGCTCACAGGAGAGCCATGCCTGCCATTAGAGTCCTTCAGAAGAACAACTCCTTTCCTCATCTGTGCACTGCTGGATTTGCTTGACAGGGCTGTGGGCTTTGAGATGCCCCAGGAAAGAAACGTAGAATATGCAAATGTACTTGAGAATTTGGCCCCCTCTGCCACATGCATAGCAGCCAGTGTCAGCTTGGTCCTGAAAGAGGAGTGCCATGAAAAACAAGATATGCTTGAAAGGTATGGGGCACCAGAGGTATCTCCCTCCTTGAAAGCACAACTCTGACAACGTATTCTTATCTCGCATACTCACATGGCCATGCAGGTCCGTGTTAAGCAGCATCATTGCGCATGTGAGGCAGTGGACTCCATCTGGCAAAACAGACATAAAAAAGATCACACCCAGCCTTGTGCTGCCCAGAGCTGTGTATTGAATGATAGCTCAGACCATCCTGGGACCCTTGCTGGCTAACTGAATCTGTTTATTCCTTTAAGGTGAATGGGCCATTAAAGACATGCCCAATTAAACAACCAAGAGCAAAATCTTTTAGCAGGTCCCAAAAGAATTCACATGAGTGTCTATTCCAGCCCCTCTTGCACACTACAGCTACAAAACCCACAAGTAAAAAACCTACAACATGTCACAGACTATTTGAAAATCATCAGTTTGTCCACAAGTGGTGTTTGAATTACATGTACTACCTGAGGTGAGAAAGGGATTAAAAAGGGATGGAGATAACCCAAGAGTAGGCCAAGCCATGACAGCCCTGACCCTCAATGTACCAGCCAGCAAAGTCAAACATGTTTAAGAGGACAGCAAATATCACTCTTCCGTGCTCAGGTAAAATAAGTAGGTGTGTCTACATGGATGACTAATGAGCATGAATAAACTCCAGAGCTTACTGGTCCCAAGCATGCTGTTTGAACATTTGCCCAAGAGCAAAAAACTTCAGAGAACACTGCTCCAGAGTTTATTCGTGTGTAGCATGTGGATCCCAGTCGGAGAAACCCAGGCTGCCAGGGGGGTCAGCCTGCTAGCCCAGGGCTGCTCTGACTGGGCTCCACATGCTGTGGAGAGGCTGACTGAGGCACAAGGGTGCTTCAATGCGAGGGCTGCCTACTGGCTAGCCCTGCACTGAAGCACCCTGTGCCTCAGCTGGCTGGGAAAGCAACCACACATGCACTGTTGCATATGAAAAAACTCCACAGCAAGGCAGTACTCATATTTACTACCCTGCTGCAGAGTTTATTTGTTTAGTGTGTCCTAACAGGGGTGCACATGTAGAAGCTGAGATGTTTACTGCAGTTAATTAGTCAATCGCGCAGTGAATTAGAGGTGCACCAATACATCAGTTCGATAACGGTTCGGCACTGATATAAAGAAAATTGACTGTATTGAAAAATCGGCTTGATGTACCCGATAATTTGGTCGAAAAATGCTCGTGCATGCATGCAGCCACAGGACAGAATGTAGGCGTTGAGGAGCACAGCCCGGCACCTTGAAGAGCTGCGTGCAGCTGGTAAGTCTGTTGTGGTAGAAGGGGAGGGGGG